GGGATGAGCGAGAGGGGGAGGGAGGGAGATTGACGGAGGGTTGGAGAGGGAAAGGGTGAAGGGGGGTGGGAGATAAAGACTGAGAGAGAGAGAGAGAGAGAGAGAGAGAGAGAGAGAGAGAGAGAGAGAAAAGAGAGAGAGGGAGGAGAGAGAGAGAGAGAAGGGGGAGGGAGAGAAGGGGGGGCGAGGGGAGATTGACGGAGGGTTGGAGAGGGAAAGGGTGAAGGGGGGTGGGAGATAAAGACTGAGAGAGAGGAAGGGAGAGGGAAGGAGAAGCGAGAGAGGGAGAGAGAGAGAATGGGAGAGAGAGGGGGGGGGAGAGAGGCAGAGAGAGGGGGGGGGGGGGGAAGGGGGGGATAGAGACAGAGACAGAGACAGAGGAAGGGAGAGGGAAGGAGATTGGGAGGGAGAGAGAGAGGGGGAGAGAGAGGCAAAGACAGAGAGGGATGGAGATTGAGGGATGGAGACAAAGAGAGAGAGAGAGAGAGAGAGAGAGAGAGAGAAGTGACATGAAGTGTGAAGGTAGACACACACTCCATGATCTGTGATGATTTTATACTTGTACAATTCGTGTCGTCTCGACTTGTTTCGCTGCCGGCGTATACAGCCGTCCCGTCAGGTGGCTTTCCCAACCACCACCTTTTAAAACTGGGATGGATGAGTTCCACTCACCCATCCTTCCTTATACACCGTAAGGAGCCCATACTTCAGTCTTTCCTATCATCTAAAGTTCCCCTCTACTCCTTATGCTCATATTCCACCCGTCTTTGTGGTATACCCTTTTCTCTTTCACTTGACTGCATCTCCACGTATTCATGATCTGCTGGACTTCTCCCTTTGACGTGTCATTCCATCTATTGCTCTTTCTGCCCATACGGGCCGAGTGCTACTTCGTTGCCTCGCAAGTCCTTTCTCCTTCCTTTCTTGTTTTTTCCCCTCTTTTTTCTTCTCTTTTCTTCTTTGCTTTCATCCACTCCTTTCCCCAATCCATCCTGCGTGCGATCTTTTTCTTCCTCGTAATGTAATTGTTCGCGGTGACATCGCCCTGGTAAACGTATCTCCTCCCAAGCAGAACACTACCAGTAATACTTGGCCCTGGTAAGGAAACTTTTGGGGCCCAGCTACATTTTCACGCAATCCTCCCATTGCCGATTGTTCTCCTCCTTCTTTCCAATGTATTTGAAGGGCACCTTCACTTTGATCTTGTCCCTACACTCCCCACCAGAGTCTCCTTCCCTTCCTCCCTTTTGGTCTCTGTCTCCATCATCATCTCCACCATCTCCTCCATTTGGATCCTTCTTCACCTTCTTCTTACCAATTTTCCTATCTGCAATACTCTGCAACCTGGCCTGCATTCTCCTGACACTTGCTGTGCACCATTCCGTATGTATGTTCGAGCATGCCACCTCATTCATCCGCTACTTCATCCTGCAGTTTGATTACTTTCTCCAACAACAGTCGCAGGGCGGCGGATTCATTAGAGGAGCGGAGGGCCAGCTGGGAACGGAGGGCGAAGCCGGGGTTAGTTTCATTTTCCATGCGGTCTTTCAACTGTTCTATTAGTGCTCCACCTCAGTGTTGCGCACCCCGACCGTCGGCGACCCTTGACTGGTCGGCTGCCGACCCACCGACCGGTCGGCTGGTCCGCACCTACCGGTCGGGGGTCTTCGACACCCTGCAAAAAGAACAAAAAAATAAATAATAATAATAAAAACTGTGTCCAGAACCCCTAATAACCCCACCAACACCCCATACCCACCCCAAATACCCCCATACACCCCCCC